GACGGAGCGGGCCCGGCGACGGAGGACGGAAGACAGAGGAAGAAGAGGCGGACAGGTAAGGAGTGTGACCAGCCCACCTGTGGGTGACCCTGCAGAGCCCACCATAGAGGGTCTATGGTGGGCTCTGCAGGGTCATCCTCAGGGCTCTTCAAGGGGTGTAACTAGAAATCACAGGGCCCCATACAAAATTTTACCCTGTGATTTATAGTTACGCCCCTGGCCATGGGCTGTAAACTTCTTGACAATGTTGCGCACAGTGGACACAGGAACATTAAGATCTCTGGAGATGGACTTGTAACCTTCAGATTGTCCATGCTTTCCCACAATTTATGTTCTCCAATCCTCAGACAATTATTTGTTGCTCTTTCTCTTCTCCATGCTCCGTGTGGCACACCGAGACACACAACAGAAAGGTTGAGTCAATTTTTCACCATTGTAACTGGTTGCCCGTGTGATTTCTATATTGTCAGCACCTGTTAATTGATACAGTTAAGTTTAATTACAAGTTACAGGAGCATCACAAACTTGGACTGCAATTATTTCTTGCAATTTGGAGAAGGTGCCAATAATTATGTCCAGTCCATTTTTGGAGTTTTGCATGGAATGTGTCAGGTTTGGCTTTTTCTTTTTTCTGTCATACCAATACAAACACAAGAAATAAACATGAGAATTCCTAAACATTTGTAATTGCAACAATTTTGCAATTTCAATTTTGCAATGTTGGTGCATTAGCTGACAGAAATGCAGGGGTGCCAATATTTTTAGCCATGACTGTATGTAAGGAAAACACTGAATACTGTCTGCAGGGGTCTTAGGGCCACACAATATGTGTCAAAGGGGCCATATGTGGCCCCCCGGACTACAAGTTGTGCACCAGAGGATTAAGGTGACGGAGTCACCAGTGTGGTTATAAATGTTTGGGTATGTTCCTGACACTCATTATAACTGAAGTAATTTAGATGAATGGTGAAACATTAGAGAAGTCTATACTGAATGTGACTTACAACTGCTAGCTATACCATTAATTGGATAAAGGAAATTTTTCAAAAGATAGATGACACACAGTTTTTCTTTACAGGTTTTTTTAACACTTTGGTATTGAGATAACATCTATTATATATTTATTTGCTCCTATTCACATTGCATTACTTAAAACATATTTAAACATTGCTGCTTCTGTTCCCCCCATGTAATGTTAAGGAGGGGGTTGTGGGTAGTTATGTTTACACTAATTGGGCCTGCCTGTGTGCTGGCAGATTTCATTATCTGTTGTAAACTGCATTTGAATACTGTTTTTTCTAACAAAGGGTTAAAGACTTAGAAGCATTGTATGCTAATCAGAAGAAGCTCAATCTGACCATCAGCTTGACCCTCTACTTTCACTCTCAAACTGCTCAGAGTAGCCTGGAATCTGCACAAAGGCCTTTATCAAAAGAAACGTCTAAAAGGTAAGTAATATAATATATAAGTATGCTGTGAGAATAGGAACACATAAAAAACATATAGTGGGGTTTCTCAAATATGACTGCAAAAGGGGAAATGGACTTTAGGTGCTGGTGGAAACGAGCCCTCAAACACTCATCATTTGTACCAATTGTCTCCACAACCAAGGCACTAGTCATGATATAACCAGTATAATCTGAAAGTTCAAGTATAAAAAAAAAGTAAACAATTAATTGTCACAATACAAAGCAACCATTCCCATTCTTGTTCTTAGCTTCTAACCTGAAATAAAGAAATGTAAGCAAAGGTTTGACTAGTGCAAATCAAGGAAGCGGTGACCTTGTAGGGAAGTTGCGGGCGCCGGTGTGAGGTGTCCCGGCGGCGGAACTTCGCCCACCGGCTCCGTAGTGTGCGGAGTACTAAACCAGTTGAACCCTCAGGTTGCTTATGATCAGCCTTAGCATATCAACAAAATGTACCGGACCCCGTAGGGCCAGAAGCAGCATAAACTCACCTATCTACCAATGAAAAACCACCGCTTTGTTAGTGGCTCCACTTGCTATCGCCTATAAAATGAGTTGTACAAAGAGAAAAGTCAGAACACATACAGGAAAACAACAGGTAAATGGATTACCTGAAAAAAGAAGAGTTTTGGCTTCCCAACAAGTCCCTTATCCGGATTTTCTCCTTTGAACATGTTAAACAGATACTCCTCTTCCATGAAATCATCATAAGTGTAAAATCCGCCCTCTTTTCCATGGCTTAATACAACACAAACAAAGCATCCGCTTTCACTGTGATCATCTTTGGCAACTTGAATATGGAAAAGAGAACTAAACTGATAAGAGGAATAAAAATCCAACAAACAATAACAGAATAAACAAAGGGAAATACTAATAAAACAAGCTTCATGTGTGAAAGCATCTGTATTGATGGTCAAGAAACATGCAGTTTTTATGCAGATGTGATGGGCAGTGTGCTGTGAAAACATGCAGTGTGCACTTCATTGGATGCCACTGCGGGTCAGTGCACAGTAGTGCAGCACACCACATTGTTGTGCCGGGACCTGAATGGGGTGTACACATTGTACACTACTAATTAAGTAAAAAAAAATGTAAACAGTGACAGCTCCAGCAATGTGTGATACACTGCACACTGCCAGAGCTACCACAACTCACTAGCCCATAAAACAGAGCATTTTAGTGGATGAGCTAGTGTGAACGGGCCCTAAAGCTGGCCATACACCTTCAAAAGGAAGTTGAAGATCATTTCTTTCAAAATAGGAAACTATATGAGTCTGAATTTAGGATCTGGTGGAGCAAAAGTTATCTAGAGAAAACTGTCTAGAAGAGCAATACATCGATGAGGTGTACATAGCCAAGTGTTTCCAAATATCAGAGAGGTTTCACTGGATTTTAAACCAAATAGGGAAAAGGACTTTAATATCTGATGCTACTTTCATGCGAATATTATGTGAAGTAGACAGAATATTACCTTACAAATAAAGAATTCTCAGGTGCTGGGGTGACCCTAGCCTTTTTGCTGCCTGAGGATGGGGGGGGGTGACT